TAATAGCATTCGGACAGCCGATATTCAGAAGACTCGATTTCAGTTCCTGAGTTCCAAGTCTAGTTCCAACATCCAAACAGGGTGTAATACAATATGGCTGACCTCATATAACTAAGAGTATAATTTTGACAAGCTAACATAACAAAAATGTGCAGTCTGGCTCTTTTGATTTGTCAAGGTTAAAGTTTGACTCCGCATCACAAAATTCATAACTTGGCAGGCTTGCTTGTTACACTCTGCACTGTGGGATGGACGGGCGGACGGCCTCTTTAAGCCTATCCTAGTGAATCTTCATTTGACTTATTTTCTGCCATGCACATGCGTGTGCTCTTCGAAGTTTATGTGGCACATTTTTTCCGAACATGTACTTAAATGCATGCTATTTTGTATTAGAAGAAACCGTCAAGAAGGTGGCAGAAGTATTCAAAACCACCAAAAGTGGCTGTCCTAAAAACCAAAACTAAAGGTATGAAACAAATAAAAACAAAACTGCCTAGCTAACCAAACAGAAAGGAAACTAGGGGTGAGGATCCTTTGTTTCTGCTAGTTTCCGGAGATCAGCTTTGCTGAGAATGCTATCGGCCAGTGATTGGCCAGTTAACTAGCTCATGGTATGATACTATAAATGGAATTGAACAACAAATCTGAGCCCAGTGCCCCAGTGGGAGGTAGGTAGGGAGGGGATTCAGGCCATATTGCAAACCCCGACTACTGCTGCCGGTCATTGGACCTTTAATTTTCACATCTTACCCACAGTACAGGAAGGGAAGGAGGGAACTCGAGAGAGTACTTAGGCCTGATGGCATACCCCAACAGCCTCCACTTGTCTGGTCCTTCCTACTTGCATCTGCATCTGCTGCTGCTCTCTGCCCTGCTGCTTGTTGTGGCGGCTGCTACTGTTCATGGTGGAGGTCTGGTAATATTAGGGCACAGGATTTAATGTATTGGACCACACTTAGAGAAGATTCAACATGCATAGCATATAATTTGTTGATACTAATGAACCATGAAAAATCATGGAGCAATTGTAGCATATCTCCAACACAGGTCCACCTTTATTCCTTTTATTCTTCACATATGGCCATGATTTTTTCAAGCAAACATACCTTAATTAGCACAACACACAGGATGTTCACCTTTGTTTCCTTTTATGGCTTTCTTCACATGTGGCCATGATTTTTTCAAGCAACCATATCTTAATTAGCACAACACGCAGGACTTTTTTTCCATTGTGTTGGTACAATAAAAATATACAACTGCTAATTGTCTGATATGTGTACGTAAGCTACTCATAAGGTGTGAAGATTATATGGTCAGGAAGGCATTTTCTTGTATTTTTTCTTCAGTTTCAGTTAGTAATAGTGTCCTTAATTGCTTATCCTGCCAGCAGTCACTGCCTGCTTGTTTCTTAAGTTATGATTGTTTCATTATCCTAGTTGAAATATTGTTTATATCTGATTTGTTTTGTCCATTAGTTCCTATTCAGTATTACTGACTGGCAGGATTTTTTCTATTAATGTAGGTGCTTTGTGTTTCGTACTCTCAGAATAGACAGCTCATCTTTCCTACACAAAAGCAGCAACGAGCTAGTTCTGGATCGATCTGTCAGAAAAGGAAAAGATCTGCTAATAAGGTTACCCTACGGTTTATTAAACAAAAAGTTGAAGCCAGTGGATCCTCTGGAAAGATATCAACCCAGTCTACCCTGGATGAGGGATTACCAGGGAGCATCTATGCATCATCCACTGGTAAGAAGTTCGTGTGGACATATGAATCTGACAGGTATAGTTTCGTTCTGCACCTACTACAGACCTTACTACGGAGCTAAAAAAATGTTTCCCATTGCGCTGGAGCCTGATTGGTTATTATTATCTGCAGAAAACTGCTGATGATCTACACTAGATTTTGTGCAGCACGCGGACCCAAATGTCAATGGAATTCTCTCTCTGGTCTTCCAGCTGCACCACCTACATGTCGTAGAAGGATGGCATATTTAAATAAAAACATAAATATAAGAAAAGCTGTTGTCCGAATCTGTAGCCTTCTCAGATAGGAAAGGAGATCGAAAGAGAGGGAATCCCATTCTCATATGTCAAATTCTAGTCATGAGAACTGTGTGGATTCAGATTCTGAGATATTCAATTGGGATTATTTTGAAGATCCAGAAATAAAAAATGCACTTGATGAAGTCCTTGAATTCATCCGAGTAGAAAACGTGAACCAGACCAGGAAAGCTGAGCCTAATAATGCAAAGTGCAACAATGATAATAATGCCAACGAGGAAATTCCAAGTGGGCAGAAAGAGCAGGTAAGTAATTGTCATTTAACCTGAACTTCCGACCTATGTTTTGGTTAATACCGATCTTTCACCTTGAATTAATCAGGTTATGCAAGGTGTTACCAGTACAAGCACTGCAGTTCCAGAAGCTGGATCACGTGAGCTTGCAGAATTGCCTAGACAATCAAATGCACCCCATGCTAGTAACAGCGTGGACGGTCCCTGTGCATCTGATGAAAACATCATTAAGGTCAACAAAGATGAAACTACTAGAAGATATGGA